AAAAAGAAAAACAACAACACAACAAAACAAATAAAATAACAGCCTTCCGCCAAGCGTCAAGCCTTGCGTAAGAAAGGGAGGATGAGCAGTGCAGAGTGTGCAGAGGTACCGCTCGCCTGCTGGGGTGCCTGGCTCTGTCTCTCTGCTCCACCAGGATTTAATAACCCCACAGTACGAGGTGACTGCCTGCACAGCGTGAAGGGGTCCCTGCTTGGGATGTACCAGTTGCAGATGTGGGGAAATGCTTCCAGCGTTACCGGCAGCACCTCCTAGTGCTTGGACAAGAGGGAAGCACGATAACACCACTACTACAACAATAACAAAAGCATAATTACCTAATTCTTTTGTATTGGGAGTGCTGTTTTGTCTTGACAGCTCCCAGGAGATGATGGGTTTGTTAGTGGTCCAGCATTTTGTACAGCACCTCTTCCAAAAGGTCCCAAGTAATTCCAAAACTGGGAATCACTCCACTTACCACAAGAATGCAGCCACATCAGGGGTAGGATGTGGTAGCTCTTCAACAGCAGAAATGCTTGGAACACGGAGAGGAGAAGGCTCTCCAGTTGAAGCCGTAGAGAACGTAGAGAATGAAGAATATCAGGAACAGACCCAGGTAGGGATTCCTTCAGGCTCACCAGGTTAACACCACAGACACCAACTTGCTGCTCAGCTGGGCCTGATTTAGGACCTGGGTTTTGCATTTCATGCAAGGAAGTGGTAATTCTGATCCACCTCCCCTTTACACCATCCTCCGGCTGGACAGACTAGTGCCACCAGGGGCAGGGCAGTGGGGATTTATGGCCAATACACATCTGCTGGCACAGGCTGCCCGTTTATTACTTGGCAGAGTAATACCCCATTTGTTGGCAAATACATCGAAAGGGAGTTAGAAAGAAAATCAATAGTTGTGTTTGCCTGAGAATTTCTCTTGCAGTGAGATACTGTCAGTGCGGTAACCAACAGGTCCATGAAGAGTCTGGACAGATTTAATGCCGCGCGCTGTTAGTGACGGGCAAACAGTCTGGGGCTGTGAGGAAGGTGTGGGCGCGATGTCCAGGGGAGCCAGCAGTGCTCCTCTGTCACACGCATCCAGGTCTGCAAGAAGCACGGTGCCAGCCCCGGCTGCTGCCCAGGAAACGCCATCCGGGCAGCGGCTCAGGCCGGTTGCGCCAAACCGCCACGCGGCCAGTCACACGTGGGCCGGGGCGAGGGAGCGCTCCCCAGGAACCGACACCCGACTTTTGGGGAACGCAGCCACCCCCTGGCACAGCACCTCGCGTGGGAAGCCTGGGTGAAGGTGTGACTAAAGCCTGCCCGAAAGCGATGCCGCACACGAGTGCACACACCGGGAGCGTGGACGCCGGGGCTTGCAACAACCAGGGGCGCGCACCCGTGGGACGCCTCCGCCGAGCCCCCCGGAGCAGCCGGAGGGGCGGCGTGGGGTGGCGAGGGGCAGCGTGGGGCTGGCCACGGCGGGGCCACGGCGGGGCATTTGTGGCCACGGCGGTCCGTGAGGACCTGCTGCCCTCTCGTGGCACCGCGGGAGGATGGCTCTCGGGCTGGAGATCCCGCCACCGCTCGCTCTGTCGCTGTCACCCCACGGCCCCCTCCGCCGGGACCTCCGGGGCATCATCCTACAGGGAGCCCCCCGTCTCGGAAAGACGAGCCTGGCAACCCAAATGTGTAACATCTCTGAGTGCCAACGCGGGATAATCTCCTGACCATGTCGGTTTGTGACCCCTTTTGTCCCCCCATTATGTTCGGAGGGCTCCACACTGCCAGCTGCCTCTGCCCCCCCAGCAGCATCCCGCTGAAAACCCCCCTCTCCCTGCTGATGCTCTGCCCGTTGCTCCCAGCCCATTAATCCAACTCAATTAAACACAGACCCTGCAGACTCTTAGTACCCTGACACCCAATTGGAAGGAGCAGGGAGAGCCTCACCGCAGTGCTCGTGCTCAGCTGCACCGTGACCCCCACCTGCCCACAGCAGCCCCGCCGCCCTGGGGCTGATCCCGAAGGTACCGGCTGAGAGAATCCCGAGGCAGACCATCTCCTCTGCCCGCAGGTTGGACAGGCAGGCTCTGTGCTCAGCGTCAGGTGAGACATTTACAGACTTTCAAGCCCGTGGTATTAAGAAAATATTTGAGAGACCATTGATAAACCTCTATAAAATAGGACTGTGCAGGCACCATCAGGGAGCTTACTTTATCAAAGAACTACCTCTGCAGAGCCCTGCACGATCCCCACTGCCACCCTGCTGCCTGCACTGCCTCCCAGGAAGAGCAGCAGAAGCCCTGCTCTATTCATGCAATCACTGGTAGTATCTCAGTGCTCACCCCTCTCCTCCAAGCCGCTTCAGCCTCACAAGGGCAGCTCCAGGACCTCTCAAATTGCTGCTGCCACCAGCCATGTGCTGCTCTGTAAGACCCATATTGGCCACTGGCTCCCTCCCTGCTCCAATGCACCCACACACCCATTTCCCATGGGATGTCTGAGACCTACTTGCGTAGGGCAGCCCCTCGGGACACACCACCCTGCCAGGGGCTCGGGTGACTGGAGTCCTGGGCTGAACAGCCGCCCCCCCATCCTTCCCTGCCATGGCACATACTCTGACATGCTGGGTAACGTTACTGGCTCATCATATCACCTCTAACCAAATCTAGAGTCCTTTGGAGATTTAATGAATCTCCCTCAGATTCATTAAAAGCTTATTTCCTTATTCCTACCATTATTTTTTTTTCTCACACTGTTCATTTTTCAGGTATAGGCACCCTTACAAAATCCTCCAGACCACCCTGCTTCAATGCTTACGTCCACTTTTATTCACTGGGAAATGCATCAGGGCCTGAAAGAGCATTTCCCTGGTGATGTCAGAAACCAGGATTTTACCCCTTGTGCCCTCCCTGGGCACAGCAAGACACCCAGAAAACCGCTGGTGCTTGCAGGGGGTCCCACTGAGATTTGCTGCTCAGGGCCTGAAGCACGGCACAAAACAGGAGACGGTAAATCTCACTCATTTGCTTTTGCAACCCTGATCAGGCTTGCATGTGCTCTCTCTGCCTTTGAGTGCATATGCTGCCCACGTTACTGATCCCTGCTGCTCCTGATCACTGTGTGGATATCGGTCCCTTCCAACTGAACTATTCTAATTTTATTCTTATTTCTATTCTATTCTATTCTATTCTATTCTATTCTATTCTATTCTATTCTATTCTATTCTATTCTATTCTATTCTATTCTATTCTATTCTATCCTATCCTATCCTATCCTATCCTATTCTATCCTATCCTATCCTATCCTATCCTATCCTATCCTATTATTAAAAAGGTAGATGGCAAGAGTTGCTGCATTATGCTAGTGCTTTCTTCAGTGCTGGTTGGTAGCTGCTGGCACAGGTCAGCAAGCAGCACTGGAAACGTGCTGTAGCTTTTGTTGAAAGTTCTGGGCACAGCCCCACAGCTGCCGGCTCGGTGCCGGCTGTGCCGCACGCTGGAGAAACCACCCACAGGGTTTATGGGAAATGGTTAAACCGCAGGCTCATCTCATCTCCTCTCTAGGCAGCGAACACCTCTGAGCCTCCGGACCTCCACCTGCACATCAGCATGTGAGCAGGGCTGACGGCAGGATGCTGCCTGCACGCTGCTGGCACCTGCAGCACTGCTGGTGGCACTGGAGCAGTGGCACGGCTGGTGGGTGAAGGACACGGCTCCCCTGGACCCGCCTGCCCAGGCCTGGGCTTCTCCCTGCTCCCACAAAGGAAGCCCCAAGCCCTGACATTTCCTGATCTGCTGTGCAGCGCCACAGGGTCACAGTGAAACTGGTCTCTCTGCCATCTGTCAAGCAGTGTCATGATGGCTGAAGTGAAAGCCGAGCTGGAACGGGATCCGTGTTATTGACGGCCCTTGCACCAACGCGACCCCAAGAAACACCAGGGCAGAGCAGAGCCACGCTCTAGTGGCTAAAGCCCTGCCTCTGGCTGCCGCTGCCAGCCTGCAGGCAGTGTGAGAGTCCCTTTGAGGGGCGGAGAGGTCAGAAATAAAGGTTGGAGGGACGAGGTGGAGGAGGGAAGAGGCAGGAGGGAAATGACTGATTCTACGATTAATGACTCCGGTCATTAGCCCAGCGCGGGTGTAAGGGAGATGACATCCTTCACTACCTCCCGGGCGTGAGCAGATGAGGCGAATGACCGGCCAACGCAAGCTCTCCTCTGATCGAGAGCAAACCCTGTAACTGCTCGATTCCCCACAAACTGGTAATTTCCTGCCTGTGCCACAGCAGCTGCACCGACCGCTGGCCACCAGTGCCGGAATTGGGGCCACTGTGGGGAAGGAATTAAATTAACCAGGACGTGCCCTGAGCAAGTCCTTGCGTAAGCGACTGCAGCTGCCTCTCTATCCACTGGCAGTATTTATGCACAGCACCCAATCAACTGATTACATTTGCTATTCTCTACCTAAAAATAGTCCTTTTATTCCTGGGACTCCACAGGCTGCTCCAATGCAGTTTATGAAATGGACCGAGAAAAACAAATTTTCATTAGGTGACGCAAAACCCAAGAGACGCTCCGGACCCCGTCAGAGGGAAGGGCAGGGGGAAGGGGCTGCAGTACCGGCTGATCAGGGAAAGGGCACGGAAATAAAACACTGCACGTAATAAAACAAAACCCCAAATAAAACATGTTTCTGTTTCCTTGTTTTCTTTTCACCTTCCTCGATAGAAACAGCTGCAGCACAAGCGCGGAGGAGGGACCGACCTGGGAACGCCCCATGCGGGCAGGTCCCTGCTCCCGCCGCCCTCACCGATCTTCCCTCCCGCTGGTCGGGACCACCCCGCCGGCTCGGCTCGGCTCGGCTCGGCTCGGCTCGGCTCGGCTCGGCTCGGCTC